CGATACTACCCTACGAGTATTAAAACCAAGCTATTAGTATCGATACTCCTTGAGAAGTATCGATACTACTCTTTCTAAACTCTCTTATTTTTAAACCATCTAAAGAATAGTATCAGTACTGTTCCTCTAGTATCGATACTCAAACCCATAAAAAACCCTATTTGGGTATGAAAATGACTCATAAAACCATCCCAAATCCATACTGAGGTCCCTAATCATTCTTAGATTTTTATGTTTGTAAGAAAGGGTCATAATAAGTCTTTAAACATGCTAAAAACACCAATTATTTGAATATACCATTAATGCTCATATATTCTTGACCACTCAAGACTCTCCAGTTAGATGCATTCTAATGAGTCAAAAATGGTATAAAAGAGTTATGAATGTGTTACCTTATCTTCCTAGCTATTGTGAATGCTCTCAAAACAACCTTGGAGCTTTCTCTCACCTCTTTCACTAATCAAAGAGAAGGTAATGAGTTACTAACTCATCTAGGAGCTTAACTTTAACTTAAGGACACTTCATAAAACTTTAATGTACTAAAAACTAGCTTGAGACATTTGGTTCCTTAAACCCCAACTAAATCCCATCTATGGCTACAATGGCTCAAACCTTGTGTTTGGATGCTTCAATTGAAGCTTTAAGGATGAGGATAACGACTCTTACCTTTAGAAATCTGAATAAGGCTTGAAGAGATACAAACTTTTGATTTTTGACAAAGCTTGGTGAAGAAAAAGGTAATGGAGGAGAAGAGAAGAAGATAAACAATTGTGTGGGGAGAAAGATAAGGAACTGACGTGATATCACCAATAATTAAGGGATTTAAACTTTAGTTTCAAAAATTGGTCTAATTGCTATTTTATTCATTTCTCTTTTCTCCCGAGATTAAAAAAATCCTTTTTTAATATCAATTGTGCCCCAAACCAAGCCCAACCCAAACTCTAAATGGGTCTAGCACTCCCATAGGATATATGGGCTCATAGAAACTATCTCAGGTTAACCTAAAACTTCTAATCTGGGATTTGGGGTGTTAGATTGCATATTACATCTTATCATTTTTAAGGCATGTAAATGACATTATTAACCTTGCTTGTCTTCTAATAAAATATCTCAAATATTTGATTCAATTCGATTATCTTAATTTTTTCTCGAACTTTAACGCTTCATAGCCTTTAACATAAATTCCATACGAAAAATATGAGTAGTACAAAACCAACACTCTTTGGGGTAAACTATTCATTTGTGAGACTAAAACACCTCTTTTTTATATTATTATTTAGTCCCTTAACTTTTCCCAACTATATACTTTGCTCACCAAGCTTTTAGATTATTTATTTTGGTTACTAACCAAAATTTTGGGTATTACTATATTCCTCAAATTCAAATGGAAGAAACTGTCGAGAAATTTTCTACGATTATGTAAAGAAAGTTGAAATTCTTACTTCTAGAAAAATGATGAAATGTGACATTGTTATGAAATTTGTGATAATGGTAATAAAATTTTATTTATTATTTTACATTGTTATGAAATTTGTGATAATTGTAATAAAATTCTTTCATTGGGTTAATAAAGATATTGGAGACAAATATAAAAAGGGCATTCTTCTTGAAGTTATGATAGAAAATAACATGTTGTTAAGGGTTAATCGAGAGTTAAAAGTTGCTCAAGTATTGCTGAAATGTGAAAGAGATTATTGTGTAAGCGATGGTTCAAAATTATTGGAGGTGGAGGACAAGTTGAGAAAGGCCAAGATTGAAGCTTGTATGTACAAATTTGTGATATTGTTGTTTATGTTTTTTGTTGTACTGTTTTCCATGAGTACTTCATAGATTAGAATTGCTCATCTTACAAAGTATCCAAGGTTGATGCAGTGTACAAGGTTATTTTAGTTGTTTTTCATGGTGTACCTTTTATGTACTTGTTAACCTTAAGCTTGTTTTAGTTGTATAAGGTTGATGTACTTAGATATTTATGAAATGTTCTTTATTATACATTTATTGCAAATTATAGTAGGGGTGTTCAAAAAATTCTGTAATCATTAATTGTGACCATTAGTCCTTATAATAGTTATATTTAATATGTTAATTAATATATTTGTTAATTCTAAATTATTTTAATTAACCAAATCTGTAAAAATGATGGTTAACGGTTAAGGTTACAATTATTAATTTTGATAAATGGATGGATAACATTTAATAAATTAAATTTATAATTATATTGGGAGATGTACATACTTACACTAGTGTAAGTATGTGTTAAGTGCTACACTTTTTCATTTTATTCACTTACATTGATGTAAGTATGTGTTAAGTGCTATACTTTTTTGGAGATATACATACTTACACTGGTATAAGTATGTGTTAAGTGCGACATTTTTTGGAGATATACATACTTACACCATTGCAAATATTTGTTAAGTTCTACTTTTTTATTTTATTCACTTATATCGATGTAAGTATGTGTTAAGTTCTACACTTTTTGGGAGATATACATACTTTACACTGGTGTAAGTGTGTATTAAGTGCTACACTTTTTGGGAGATATACATACTTACACCAGTGTAAGTATGTGTTAAGTGCTACACTTTTTGGGAGATATACATATTTCTGTTTGTGTAATAAACTTTTATTTTATTCACTTATAGTACCAAAAATGTTTGTGTTATATTGCATTGTTAACCTTTAACAGAGTTGATCAAAAATTAAAGTTACATTGTTAACCTTAAACTCTATTGACTAAATTTTTCATTCAAGATTGAACAAAATATATAAAGCTGACCAAATTTTCATATAAGATTGAACAAAATATATAAAGTTGAAAAAAATATATAAAGTCATGACTGCCTCCTAAAGTAAAGTTACACAAAATATGATAAAGGGTAGTTCATTTACTAGCTCCTTAAATATAGTTTAACAAAAAATGCAAAGTGGTTGTGCATCTACTTCCACGGTTGTTTCCTCTTCTACAACATCTCTTTGATGTCAACATCATGAAATTTCCTCTTTGGCCTTGTAGGCTGAGTTCTAGGTTATTTTTTCAGCTGTTTTATTTTTACCTTTATCTCTGTCAGTAGTATTTGATGGTGGAACAGGTTGGTTAACTGTGTAAGAAATAGGTGAAGAGATCTCATTTCCAACCTAAATTGAAATGTAAAATAATAGTTACACTTTCAAAATATTATATGTTTTTCAGTCATTTTCTCCAAATCTCCACCTAAATCATATATCTAAAAGCAAGACTAGTCATTCTCTGAAATTAAACATAAAGACAAAGAATATTACAAAATTATTAATAAACCTAAACACTTTCATAATTTAAAATCCTTGAAAAAACCCTAAATACTAATACTCATTCAAAGAACAAAGAACAAATACTCAAAAAAATCAAATGCATTATCAAAATTTAGATAATAAGTATTTACCTCAATGCAGATGTGAAGAAGAAAAACCTCACTCAAATTAAACTCTTTTTTAGATTTGAGAAATCTCCCCACTGATAAGAAAACCTTGCTCTTGCGTAGAAATTCTAACCCTAATTTTTAAAAACTCAATTTAAAAGAAATCGAATCGGGTAATATGAACTTCTCTCTGATTCAACTCAAATCATGGAACTTCTCTCTGATGAACAGAGGTCTAAACATAGTTACAAGAAAAATTAAGACTATATAAAATCCACGTAGAAATAAGGGAGAAAATGAGTTTTATGTTTAAAAGAAATTTAAAAAAAAATTAAAGTTCCATGTGTCATTTTTTTAGTGGTTTCCACGTCACTTTCCGTGATGGACGTGGGTGAACCCATTAATGGTAGAAAATACCATGCCTGAAATCGAGAATTTTAAAACATTATGTATGAAAATGAGAATTTGGTATTACAATATTGACTCAATGGTAGAAAATCTTGTTTTTATTTCTTATTGCATCAAATTTGCTCTGAAAATTATTTAATTGTATCAATTTTACCCTTTGATCGATTTTTATTATTACAATATTGAATCAATAGTTAATGATGTTGAGGTGATAGTTCAAAATACTGACATTGATTTTTTAGTCGAGTGTGAAGGCATAATTACTTAAATTTTAAGGATTTATTTTAAATTTTAAAAAAAGTTAAAAATTATTAAAATTTAAATTATTAAAGTATTCATTAACTTCATTTAAAATAAAAATAGTAAAAATTATAAAATTTAAAATATGTAATAAATTTGATAAATTATAAATATAAAAAATTAAAATTTATAAATATTTATAAAGTACTAGAATAATTTAGCACTTTCACTAAAAATGTTTTTTTCCAGCTTGTCTGCTATTATTCATTTGATATATTTTCTATTGTATTAGAGTAACAATAAAATTCAAATTCTCCTTTAATTTCCTACAACAAATATTAATGAGAACACCAAAAAAATGGTTGAATTTTGATTTTTTTTTACTTTTTGTTATATAAAAATATAAGCGAAAATCAAATTTACATATGAAGATTATATATAAGGAATTTTTAGTATTATATAAATTTAAGACCATTAAATGAGTGAAAATAAATTGTTGAGATTAACATAGGAAATGAAAAGATATTCATCGTAAAAATAAGGAGTTAATTTCAATCATTTATTTCCACTAATTAAAAGAAAAATTAAACTTGTAAAAAGCACATGTAAATTGTGATGGGCAATATTCGAGTCAACTCAAAAAATTATTGATTTTTAAATTCAAATTAATTTAATAAGAATATTTAATTTTGAATAGAAATAGATAAATAATTTGATTTTTGCAATTGAACGTTTACAACTTGAATATCTAAAATATTGATTAATAAATTAGTGTAAATATTATTTGGGTCCCTCAATTTTCAACTTGAAATTTTAAGACTAGCGTGATTAAAAAAGTTTAACAAGTTAAATCATTGTGTTGAGGCTATGTACAAAGAAGGCCCTAGAGAATTAGCCCACCTAACTAAAACATAGCACAAATTATTTGCCCAAACCCAACCGATCAAATTTCTATACTCCACGATTCCAATGTCATCATCTACAACAGTAAAATCCAAATTACAAAGCAAAAAGAAGCCTGAATCGAAACTGCAGTACTGTTGATGAATCTAAGTTGTCTTCAACCTTTGTCTAAACCACCCGATCATCTGCTCCCCCTTACTTCAACATTTCCAGGTTCTTTTCACTTCCTCCGAAACAAGCCGGCATCAATTCCAAGCAATTCAAGCAGAGACTGCAGGAGTTACAAAGGCGTAAACTTTAATATCAGGAAGACGGGGATTGTGTGTAGGTGGTTGTTTCCAGTGGATCCATGGGCACCAAACATCGACTCAAAAAGCATTGCCTCTCAACTGTTTGCAGTTTCTTTGTTTCCGTACATTGGGTTCTTGAACTTCATAACCAAGTCTAAGTCTGCTACCAAGCTCACCCTTTTTGGATTCTACTTCTTGCTTGCCTTTGTGGGTGCCACCAGTGAGTTTTCTGGAAAAATATCCTTCTTCTTTCTCTGCTCTAATTTATGTTCTGGGATTGCTTATGTTCTATGTTTCGGAAATCAAGTGGAATTTTGAGTTGGGACTAGGTGTCTATTTTTCATGAAATAAAGAAATTAGTTTTCATAAATTACACATTTGTAGACCAAGAGAAATGCCTATTAGTTGCTTCTTTTCGATGATTTTGCAAGAACCCCACTTTGTTGATAAATGTGCTGGTAGGGGTGCTAACGGACTTGAGCAGCTTACAAGTAACTCGAACTCGGTTAAAATTTTATCAATGCTTGTTCAAATTGATTCGATTTCAACTCAAGATTTTATCGAGTTGAGTCAAACAGTGTCTAACTTAACAAGCACAGAATTTTTTTAAAGCAGCATGAGTCGAGCAAAATTTTATGATCGAGTTGAATCAATCAAGAGTTATAGTTTTTGACTTCAGTCGAGTTGAACACTGCTCAACTCTTGATCGACTTGCTCGGTAAGCAGCCCTATGTGACGATATTCATTTTGGCATATTTCCCCTTGTTTTGTTAAATGGTCTAATTGAAATGTTAGATATTCGAATTTATTTGCTACTTTTCTCATATGTTTATGTACATTTTGAGAATTATGGATTCATTGCTTCTCATAGCCAAGGGCAGAGATTCATAATTGTGACAATGGAAGCTCATTCTAAGTCATGTATATGTTCTACAATATGATATCTTCTCACTTGTGAGGCTGGAAATTTGTTTTATCCTGCAATTTGATTTTGCAATTGGTGGATTTGTTTCAACTCTACTGATTTCCTTTGAATTGGTTTTTTGCTCACTTTGCATCTACTGAGCAGTCCCAGCTGGAATATACGGTAAGTTCTCGCTAATGAACAACAATTGATTTTAAGACATGTTGATTTCATTACCAAATTGTGACAAGGTCCTTTTGATGTCGAGACAGCGAAGGTGAAATATGGTACTTCGCTATCTAATGTGGACTGGTTACATGGAGGGGCTGAATCACTTCTCACAATAACAACCTTATTCATCGTCTTGGGGTTGAGACAAGCTGTTCGGAAGTCCGAGGTTGCAAAAGAAAGCACATCGAGCTCCGTTCCGGACATGAAACAGAAGAAACCTTAAATGTATATGAACCCGGTAATCACCGGTGAAGGAACGAGTTCTCAGTTCAGTCGGTCAAGCGTAGAGGCAAGCAATGTTGTATCTACTAAAGGGATCATTGGAATGTAGATTCTTTTGCTATGTATATGTGAATTTTTTTACCGAATCCGAGATCTGTAAACTTTCACGGTATGTTGATACCGACAATCTATTTGGATTATATGTAAATGGCCATTGCTACTCAGTTGCAGGAAGTCTGAAGAGGACCTTTACATTAATTTTATGTTTTGCCAGAAGGTTTCTATATGCAAAAGTATCATTTTGGTGATAATCTGTGCACTAGTATTATGCTACTGTCAAAACTTGTGCCTGAAAATTTCTTGCAGCCAACTCTGAATTGAAAGAGGCTTTTGTATTGTACAATAGTTCTTGGTGAACACAGCTCACCATGAACATATGCAACCAGCTACTCTGATTGTGGAATCTGAATTCAGCATCTACCGTTACTCTTATTCGGTTGTGAAAAAGAGAGTTAGGAGAAAAACCCTTAGGTGTCAAACGGGAAATTCGGATCCAACTCCGCATGATCGAGCGAGAAATCCAAGTCCACCATCGGAGAATTGGTGGCTGAAGTGTTGGCTGAAACCAGCTCGGTGAGATCAGATTCAGAACATTGTGTATTAAGAACGTCTCCAAAGTCGTTTATCTGAGAAGCTGGAAAATAGCTTAATTCAGGTGTACCGGGAGAAATGAAAGGAGAAGAAAAGCTGCCGAAGATATTGCTGTAATCAAGTTCTCCTGAAGGTAAAAAGCTATTATTCTCGTTCTTTAAGCCCCCAAATGATGTCGAAGGAAAACAGGAGGGCACCATCTCTTTATCGTCTAAGCCCTCGGTCTCAACCCTTAGACCTGCTCTAAAACCTAAGACGATATCTTGTGATTGCAATGGTTGGTAATTGTTGTTTGATTTACGTTCTTGTTTTTCGGGCGATGCTGGTGGTGGAACTCCTCCATGGTTGTCATTTCCACATGTGTGACTTCCTCTGCATGTGACCTCGAAAATGGTGGGATCTTCATCTGATCTCTGGACTTGCTTTGTTGCCCAGCAGTTTTGGGTATTGCGATATGTGCATCTGTAATAGCTTCTGCCAAAAGTAAACCATCTATCATATAAATATCCAACGTATTTGTCTATAGTTTTATTTGTTTAGTAGTTAGCAAATGATTAGATAGATGAGTGAAAAAGTCTCACCTAGGATATTTGGCTCCTAAGATATCTTTTTGCCCATATTTTCCCCAACTGTACCCATCACCATGAGGACCCTCCAGCAGGTTTTCACAGTTCACTCTCACCTGCTCCGTCCGTCTAGCCATCATCTTTCTGCAAAACTAAACTACATCAAAATCTGCACCAACATACTAGTATTATAAAACTTGCAGCTTCGGAATTCACCTCTTCTTGGAGACATCTCCCTATCCCGGTTATCGTTATCTAAATCACCACTCCGGGCTGCCGGTGATCGTTAGACGAGACTCCACCACATTTTGTCGAGGTCTCGGTTTCAAGGTCAGAAGAGCTTTTTTACATAAAATCTTCTGTACCAACAAGTCCCTGGATTCAACAGAAGATGATGATGTACCCAAATGCAACCTTAACTGCTTGGCTAACTGGAGTCCTTGAATCAGCTAACTCACCAGTGTACCCTGCTCCCGTTTCCACATGTTATCCATGGAACTTGTTTAAGCAAAGGGGGAGTGTTTTGAATGATAAATTGAAAGGTTGGGGCTTTTAAAGGGAGTGCTTTGAGGCTGTGGATTAGAAAATGGTTGTTGGGGGAAATGTAGAAAGTTTGAAATTTGACCGAAAGAAACCGAGTTATTCAGCGTAGACCACTCTTTGGTCGTATGAGGAATTACAAGAGTAGTAGTGGAGTGACTGAAGAGTGAGAGAGGTCCAAACCCCAATTGCTGACCAATTGTCCTTCAAAATTACGTCCAACATATCTAAGGCGGATTTAGAAATATTTTATAGAGTGGACACATATATTAATTATTAAAAATTTTCGTATGGATGAACACGTATGGATGAACACAAATAAAATTTCAAGGTAGATGCCAATAATAAAATGTACAACTCGTATAAAAAAAAGTCAAATTCGAAGATGGAGATGTGTCCACCTTAGATATGCTTTGCATCCACCACTACATGGACCCCTTCTTATCCCTCTAAACTATCATTTTTATTCGTTTTAGTACCTAATTTTTTAGTTTTTTTAAAATCATACATAACATTTAATTTTTTGTTTCATTTTAGTTCCTATCGTTAAAATCTGAACATGTTTAATACTTAAACTATCACTTTTGGTGCGTTTTAGTACCTAAACTTTCAATTTTTTAAAAAACCTTAACATTAAATTTGAACAAAATACCAAAATGAAACAAAAACTAAATTTTAGGTATAGTTTTGAATTTTTTTGAAAGTTTAAGTACTAAAACATACAAAAAATGATTTAGGTACTAAACACATGATTTACCCCTTTTTTCCCTTTTTGATGACATGAATGATTGTGGTTAAGAATAACAATGGTTTAATTGTGAGTTCCATTCCTCTACTTTATGTAATTGATAGTAATAAAAAAATCACAATACTTGACTAAATAATTATTTTGATATATCTTTTTTTTAGAGTATTTTAATCTCAAACAATCTATTTTGAGGCAAATATGCCCCTATAAATAGAAACTATTAGTCAAAAACTGATAACATTCTAAAATATGAATTTTTTGCCCTAAAATAAAATATTAGGGGCTAAAATGCTTTAAGAAAACAAACAAGAGCTAAAGTAACTATTTAGTTTAATGTTACGAGTCTTTTTACCTTAAAATGAAACATTAGGAGTTAAAATACTTCAAGAAAAAATATGAGCCAAAATAATTATTTTATCGAATATTATGGGCATTTATTCACATTATACCTTTATATAATTCTAAGAAGTTAGTTCCTCCACTTTGATTTATCGTAATTTAATTCTCATGCTTTACGGAAACGAAAAATTAATTCAATTATGTAATAATGTTAAACCTTATTTTTATTCGACGATTATATGCATGGAATTGAAAAAAATTAATAATAGTTCAACAATTTTTATGTAAAAAAATTAATATATAATCAACAATTTTAATTCATATGTATACCAACAACCGGACTAATATTTCAATTTTCATAAAAGTATGAGGATCACTTTCTGATAAATTAAAATAGAGGAATTAATTTCTGAATTTTATCAAAATGAAGTGGTGAACTTGAAAATTAAACCAGCAAAAAGCAATTGATGAGTAAGAAGAAAGTCTGCATAGAGGAGTTGGACCAAGAAATTTCAAAGCAAATTCCGTGTTATTGTTGTGCCCACGTGGGGGAAAATTAGAGCTTACGTGTACTGAAAAATGCCAAATTTTCAACAACCACTCCCACATCATCTGCGTTATTTGTACTGAAAATTAGAGCTTACTGTCGAGAGAACATGCTCAGCTGTAAGGGATGTTTAAGGTAGGGTAATTTTAATATACGGTTAATAAAATATGTTATAAAAATATTAATATTTTTAAAATATTTTTGGTAAACTGTTATTTAAAATATTATTTTTTATCAAAAATATTAATATTGGGCGTTACCTATAATATTTAATATTTTCGGTAAAGCGTTACTTAAAATATTATTTTTTTTCTACCGGAAAGCGCATTTCATTAGTCCTATATGTAATCACTAAGTTTTTGTCCCATTATTATTATTATTATTAAATAATAATAATTACAAATAAACAATAGACCCAAATACAATTTAAATTTGAAAGCCCAACAATAAACCCAAATACAACATAAACTGGTCTAAGTCTAGACCCGATCCGACCCAGATGACCTGAAAACCTAGTTAGGGTTTCCACAGTTTTGTTAGGGTTTCTAAACCTTATCTCTAGCCACCAACAAATCTCAATTGTTGGATATTAAGAGATCCAACGACCCAGATTGAGACCAGCAGAAACCCTAGGGTTCACCAACCCTAGGGCGATTTCGATGCCGCCTCCAACTGCTCCCTCTGCATGTTCCCCAACCAGATGCTGCCACGCCACCATCGCCTCACCAAAGGCTCCAGAAGATGCGAAGAGGACCGCACAACTCATCGAAGCTAAGGTGAGTCACCATCATAGCTTCGGTGACTCACCGAAGGCCATTCTTGTGACCGGTCCGAGAGCAGAATCGACGAGGCCTATAAAAGCCTCGACTTACCAACAGCAAAGAAGATACGAAAGAAATTAGAGACAAACAACAAGCAAAACACAAACCAAGCAAGAAAGATCCACAACAGCCAAAACAACAAAATTGAAAGGAAAAGAATGAAGAGAAGAACTTACCACGGTCGTCAAAGCCTTCACGCGCCATCGGAGAACCGAAATATCGTAGGTGAAAAGCTTAGATCTACGAAGTTTGGTAGGGTTTTAGGTTAAAATAAACTCAGATTTGAGTTTAAAAAGAAAAGGGATTCAATTTGAGGGTAATTTGTAAATTCCAGTCACCACTCATTGTCACCGGAACACGGTGGGCGGCAGTGACTGAATTCCCTCTGATGAGGGAATTCTATAGAGAGGCGATAGAGAAATTATGGTTCTCTCTCTTAGAGAGAGGAAAAAAGAAAAATGAGGAGAAATGGTCCCTTAAGGTCGATTTTCGAGTTTAAATACCCCTCCCCAAACGGTGTCATTTTGGGGAGGGGTCTGTGCGTAACTTCTGACGATGGGCAAAACCCGTCCGCAGTCCTTCATGTTTTATAAATTTCTACTTTAATCGCTGAATTAAATTTCTGAGCATTTTTTATTTTGTCTTTGCATTTTACTATATTTTATTTTAGTCACTAACCAGTATTTATATATATTTAAGGTAAAATAACCTATTTAGCCTCTATAATTTTAATAATTTTTATTTTGATCCAGAATTAATTATCTATGGTTAAATTACACTTTTAATACTTAGATTTCATGATATTTCGAGTTAGGGCTATTAACTTTGATATTTTACAATTTAATCCCTAATATTTTAATAATTTTCATTTTGACCATAAGTTTATAATTTTTTAAATCCTATATTTTATGTTTTAGTCACTATTTAATTGCAATTTTATTTTATTAATGCTATTTATGTTTCAATATTTTAAATTTAGTCCTTTAAATTATTGCTCTTTATTTTTTTTCATT